TACACAAACAGTATATACAAACAATGCACAGTACACAAAGTGTATACAAACAGTGCATACAAATAATAACTTATGAAAAAGAAATTTGAATTAAGAGGTAAGCGCATACACAAGTACTGAAGCAGTTGTAAAAAATACCAAAAATGATCATAATAAACAACAATCAGCAATATCAATAAATTGAATGCCATCATCAACAATGCAAAGCTATTATATTTAAACACTGAACCCAGAACCCAAAATACAAAACAAAATAATTGCAACATCAACAACAGAAGCAATTATATATAGTAGGCTGTGATCCATCAACAAAATGTTCTGAGTATGTGGAAGACATATGAAGCCATCAGGGCATCAACAACATCCCATCAACAGGGCACAGAACAGCATCAATATGAAATCAATATAATAATAATTTCTAAAATCAACAAGAAAGCCAGTCCAATGCAGCATACATTAATCATCAAACATGCAATATGAAACCTTCAAATGAAGAAAGAAAGGACAAACAGTTAAAATATGATATGCTGTGGCTGCAGTATCAATGAAACCATCCCAAAAACGGTGATAAATGAAGAATATATTTAGTATTTAAGCTGATTCTGAATATAAATAATATCAATCAATCAATCATTAATCAATCACTTAATCAATCACTTAATCAATCACTTAATCAATCACTTAATCAATCACTTAATCAATCAGTCAGTCAATCAATCAATCAATCAATCAACCAATCAATCAATCAATCAATCAATCAATCAATCAATCAATCAATCAATCAATCAATTAATCAATCATTCATTCAATCAAACAATCATACCTTGACCATTTCGTGTATAGTATTATTTATCAATAATATTTAGTATTACATCAATACCATTTGAATTCATAACGAACAACCACACTTCAATTTAAATCACTCAAGTATGATGAGCTAGCCAGCCAGCCTGCAAGCATTAAAAAGCAATAATTAAATTCATCTTTACTTAACTGAAACAGTATAAATCATCAATATTAAAAGGTGCAAAGTTCAAATTAATAAGCAAATATTGGCCAATTTATTACCACTTTGCAATAATGCCAACAGATGTATAATAAGCCTGACACAAGAAAAAAAACAGACACAGTCTTATCAGTGTTCCACATATTAATTTTCATTGCACTTGAAGCCAGAACAAAACAATTGCACAATAAAGAAGAATGGTCATGGGTCACATTGTGTGTAATGATTGCTAAACAGAACACTGAATGCACCTTATAATTTAATTGCAAAGAATACTGGTAACATAAGTAGTAGCAATTGAAATGTTTGCAGTCTTAAATAAATGTTATAAAATCCATTAAAACTATTCATTACAACCAGCAAAAATTATTCATATCAAAACTCAAATTGAAAATCAGCAGATACGTTTTTGAATTAAAAATAAAGCCCAATGCATTTGAAAACTTGTCTGCATACTTCATAGAGAAGAAGAAGAATGTAAGTGAACGTTTGTGCTAGTCTAAAATGATATTGCCTGATGAATATAGATAAAGTTCACCTTATTAATTGATATAATAAGAAATCAATGAATAGCATTATAAATGGAAGATTATAAATAGAAATTGTTTACTGGATATCTGAATACGTAAACAGCCCAGGGTTTGTTCTCAAAGACAAAGAATTATTGCTAAACAAGTCAAAAGACAAGTCTCTCGCTCTCTCTCTCTCTCTGTGTGTGTGTATGTGTGAGTGTGTGCTGATATTTATTATATTCATTGAAATTATATTTCAGGTATGTTATACAACTTAGATTACAATAAATTTAACAAAAAGAGAGCAAGCAGGCCTAACATGATGTGACATGATGCAGACACCCAAAACAAGCATCATAAACAAATGCCAATCATCTGAGTTTGAGCATTCTGTGTTTACAGTTAGCTGGTTATCTGCTTAATTCAGTGCATTGATATTCACATTAATTTTGTTTTTTGCATTGAGATGCAACTTTTAAAAACTTGAAATGTGGTATCAACAGGACAACTTGCAAAACCCCAACATTAAATTAGTGTGGTCTATTAATACATATGCACGTTTGGACTTAACCATCAAATTATGAATGTGTGGATGTTGTAAAGCATGAATGTGTCTATTTGCTTGGCTATATCAGTCCACCATTGAGCAACAAATTAAAGAAGTTCTACCTGTCAAAAGGTTGAGCATGTTTAAAACTCAAGTTACAAGTTTAAAGTGCAAACTTTTTTCATTTGGTTTTAAGAGATTGGATAATTTTTTAAATGTTCTTTAGATAAAAATGATGTAATTAGCTCACTTGGATGTTATGCAACAAGGCCACAATTCTGAATATTTAATGCAAACAAAGACACTAACAACCTGAATGCCTAAAAACTAAAAGCATGCATACCTACCTGCATTTTCAGGGCAATTACAATGGATTGATTTTGTGAGTCATTCTTTAGTGGTTTAAACACCATTATTCTTGTTAAGGTTAGACAGCATAATCTGAAATGGATAAAAATAATAAAAATAAAAAAACCAATTATTATTTAAAGTAGTTGTGTTTTCAAAAATGCCATTACATTACAGAAATTAGATTTAATTTTAATGTGATTAATTTTTCAAACAACTAAACTAAATAACCCCAAATGTTTAAAAATAATATTACCACAGTAAAACAACATCAAAAGTACAGCAGCAATAATTACTATAAATTTTTCATTTCAAACTGGTTTTCATAATATTGATTTAAAAATTGGCCATGTGTGTGTATATATGTGTGAGTGTACAGTCACAAGCCTTAGGAAAATTGTACAGAGTATATAGATAGATCTACCAGTGAGTTGCTGAATTGTATATAACACACGATCATACATCACATAAACAATAGGAATAAAATAAAAAAATTATTTAGCTATTTTAAAATTGTAACTGATCATGGATAGAATGATAATGAATAAAAACGAAAACAATGAAAAAATTAATAGAAGTTAATTAATTATGTATTATTAATTATAAATTATTCCCTTTAAGCCTTAATTAATTTTAAAATCACACAGACTGATTTCATTCTATTGAAATTATGTTATAATTATATATTTATATTATAATAGTATATTAAAATTATACAAATTTAAAAATGCAATCACAATCAGAGCAGTGCCAGACCAAGACCAGAGACAGACAAAGACGTGTAGTGCCCATGTTGTCTCAAGTGATGATGCATCAGCATCATTCATACCACACAAGACCAACAAAATAAAAATTAAAAAGTAAATAAAATACAAATACACAATTTTTAAAAAACATACCTTGGGATGCAGTTAGATGTTGTTTTGACGACCTCCCAAGTGGATAATAATTTCATGGGTAGCGGCTTGCCGGACATGTTTCTTGTCGCGCTCATTAATCCGTTCGTGGATTCTGCCATCTTTCTTTTAAGTAGATGTAGGCATATATACATTTTATTATTCTATATACATATATGTATATATATATATTTATATATATATAGGAATGGCCATTATTACGCCATACATTTCATACAACAATATTACATCGGTATATTATACAAAATATATGGCATTAGGCTGTGTTACTCAGTTTAGCTAAATATACAGATATAATGAACCTTTATTTTTATGGTATCTAAAAGAACCAAATTTTCAGGCGCTTACTTGTTCATGATAATATTGTGTTTTTTAAATTTTAAAAATTTTAAATTTTAAAATTTTAAATTAACTTAAACAAAAAATTTAAGTTATTTAATAATACAAATTAATATATTTTTACAAATGCTTTCATGCGCATCGGTTGTATAAATTTGATTTTTGTAATATAGACTTTATATGTATATATATATATATATTATATATATATAGTATATATACTATATATATAACCATTGTGCTTAGTATGGGCTGTCTGATGGATCTGCGGTTAAAGACACCTGATTCTGTTTGCCAGGGCGTGCAGTTACCCGGTCGGATTATAACAATCACATGCTTTGTTTTTTATCGTTTAACCTGTATTCATAGAGGCTGTTAGTGTGATGTTTAGTCTTCGGAACTTTTGAGAGTGTAACTTTAATCTTTTTTTTAAGTAACAAAACAACATACTCAAAATTGTTAAATTACAACTTGTCATTAAGACATTAAAAAAACGAAAAACATTGATGTCTAAATCATTGCTGACAATGATAGATACAAGATCTAAGAATAAAACTTTACCCGACACGACACAAAGAAACCAAACAGCAAGAAGCGGAGATGGGAATCAGCAAATGGAAAGACAATGAACATTTCGAATTTCGCCTTAGTAAAACGTAATGGATAAAGTTTTGTAGGCAGTGCAGAACTTTTCCAAACGCAAGTATCGTCCAATCATCGTTTCATATTTGCAGGATTATAAGGACAAAAACGAGACTAAAATATATAGGGGAGACGGGGGCCGAATGGACCGCTTTTTTTTGTCGCTCACTAAATATTTTTTCTTTGCTCAACAAAATCAGCTATCGCTATTTTAATAACTGATCTTGATTTGTCATTATCTTGCACAGTTGACGGTATTTTTTTAATATTTCCAAATAACGTAATTTTTTTATAATTTAATTTTTAAGGTGGGTTGTTCCAATTTTTTTGGTGGTCCATTCGGTACAATAGCGGTGTACTGGATGGACCGGGTAAAGTACCAAATGGACCATTAAAGAATAGCAACAAATTCATGGAAATAAACACATTTGAAGTATTTTTAATTGAAACAAAAATTGAAATAATAAGATTATTCATGTATGCAAAATTCGCAAATGTAATCAACTGCACTAGAAACACTCGTGCAGAGCTCGTGAGCCCACTTGGCACAATTTCTGCAACGAAACCACATTTCGTTGTCTCGGCCAGCCTCACCACACATGACGCATATGTCCTTCTCAGCATATAATTGTCTTTTAATTTTATTTTTTTTTGTTACTCTGTTGCTCTCTTCGGATATTTGATTTTTTTTATTTTGTTGCAATTTCCTTTTGTTCATGATGGGATGTTTTTTTTATCTCTTCACGAGTTTGCTGCACGCGAAGCTCTTCTTTAACTGGGGTGTCAACATTTCTCGCCAAAAAATATTTCAGCCAATCAACTCCAGCCTGTTTATTAATTTCCCATGGGCTTTGACTTCCAGAACGAGAATGGGGAAGCGTTTTTCCAAGTTTTATAGCATATTCATAAGCAAGTTGTCTCAGTTTAATACGGCTAAGGCCAAATCCCATTTTGGATGATGCTACACAATAATCCACAAGACATTTCTCTTCAGAATCTGTAAAGATTTTCGTAGAGACATTTTGGTAAGGTTTTGTGACATCTGAACTTGACAAACCAGGCTTTTCTTTTATTTCCTTAATCTTTCTTTTTAATGTGGAACGTTTTATATTATAAACCTGAGAAGCTTTTCTTTCAGACATTTTGCAATTCAAGACGTCGTCCAAAGCCTGAGACATGTTTTCTTCATTCCATCCACCTTTTTTGGCGTTTAATGCTCTTGACCTCATCCTCCTTTTGGTCTTGTATTAAAAAATTATTTAATATCATTTTACTTAAATTTCCTAATATTAATAAAAACATTATTACTATCACAATCTCCAATAATTTTTTTATTAAAATTGAAAATTGGAGCAAAAGATATTCTAGAACTTTTTAATTTTTAAATTAAAAATTCATAATTAATAATTATTAAAATTGAAATTACAAAAGTAATTGATATTTAGTTAGATATGGATTCAATTCCAATTACTAATAAAC